CCAGTAGCTTTTTCATGCTACTTACTTTCAATTACTTACTTTTTTACAGAATATCGAAATCTAAAAAATGTAATAGAAAGATAAAATCCGGGTCACATATGTAAAATTTGAATAGAAACAACTTTTTTAAGTAAGCTTTTTCGATATTCGAACAAATAAGCATACTTTCAGCGATTAATTTGAAGAAATTTCACTTTTGACATGTAGCGAAAGTCACCTGACCCCGATTGAGTAGGTCATTTTTCATTTTTTTTTAAGCAAAGCTCAACGTCCAACTCGAATTTCAAAATAAGTCATTAATAAAAGTTTTTCCCATATGATGCCGACTTTATGAATGACACTGTATATGATGGGGACCCTAAGACAAAATTTCGGAATCAAAAAGACAGATGACTGTCATCTTGTAGAGCTGAAAAGATTGCAAGTGCAACTTGCAGTAGAAAATTAGAAAATGGAATGGGTATGATGCCATATGCCTCTCTCCCAGACTTGAAAACTTCGCGCTTCTTCCATGAATTTACTAGTGCTTCATATTATGTAGGATCATGATTTTATTGAGCCCTTTCATTTCTATATTTGTTTGTATTCTTATATTTTTTTGATTTGTGTCTCTTCCATTTTTTTGACTTGTATTTTATTATATATATATCCCATGCTTTGTCAACAAGATCTATCATCTTCGACAATAAAGTATAATTTGACTTGACAGTCGACTTGACAATAGTTGCGTTTTAATTGTTCCATTCTGGTAACGGTGGTGGAAACAGAATGACGTTTACAAATAAAACGAGAACCTTCATGACCTGGCATGAGATGAAAGATGTTATATTTATGCATTGGGGCTCCGAATGATTTCAATATCATGATACTAGAGTTCAAAACTCAAGAAAATGAATCAACGCATATTTGGATCAGTGATTGTGGTGATTGGAGAAAGTTCTCTGAGATCGAGAGAATTCATTTCATCTGGTATAAAGATATGAAACCTTTCTTACTTGAAAGAATCATAAACTTGTGAACCTCCCCATAAAAATGTATTTCAATTGTCTTCTTTCAAAAAGATTCGTTTTTCGTCAATCGAATTTTATATTTTGACAACTGTCAACAGTCATTCTACGTCATTCCTTGTATTGAAACGGAATGAAAAGTAGCAACTGGAATCGAAAAAGTCGCGAATAAAACGACACTAATATTCAGATATGTATAGGGGGAATCGGGAATCGTTCGCTTTTCCAGCTCCATCTCCAGCGTTATTGTTGAATTGATGAACTCAGCTTAACTTAACAGTTGCAACTGTAAATTAGCCCTAATTTACAGTGGCAACTGTGTCCTATCCTATCCAATCAGTATTTTCCCCAATATTTAAGTCGAAAGTTAAGTCAAAACTTGAATTATGATTTTTTGGGAACATTGACCCATATTTGAAGAGCTATATCTCGAGAACTATTATACTTGTATTATGGTAAATTCAATCTTCATTAAATAATATATGATTTATTTTTCGGTACTACGCATAGTTTTGGAATTATAAGCGGAAAACCAAAAAGAGTACGAAAATTTCGTCTCAGAAGGCACCAGGAAATTGTGATTACAGATTCTGATTCAGCACCCCAAAGAACATGGAGTACGATGATAAAATCGACTACTGGATTTTTTGCAAGAAAAAGGCGTATTTCGATACCGTTTGCCTGGGTTATTTCTGTACAGTTTCTTTTGAGGTCTTGATGATGAACGTTTCGCCCTGATTAGTCACCTTTAGTCACCTTTAGTCACCTCTTCTTTGAGGAACATGTCTGGTATAAACAAATATTTCTACTTTTTGCCTTTAAATTCCAAATTTAAATGTTGTTCAGCAGTCCTTATATAAGTTTAACGTTCAATAAATTATTTGGAAGGAAGTTTGAGTAGGAGGTATACAGGGTGTATCTAAATAACACCGAAAAAATTCAAGGGGTGATTCCTTGTGATATTTTAGGAAATATAGTTCAAGTTTCAACAAATGCAAGTTTCCTGTTAGCATAATATAGTGCTCATGGTGGTAGGAAAATAGTAAACTTGCGTAATTGGTTGGAAATAAGCATAAATAAAGTATTTTTCCAAGTTATACTCATGAAGATTATTTCATCTTTCTATAGCTTCGATTGCATAGGAACACACCATGTAACTTTGAATGAATTTGTTTGCTTGGTTTTGAAATTCTTGATCAAGTGGGCAGTAATCCGAATTGAGAAAAGACAACTTTTCCAATTTTGCCTGGGTGTATGATAATCGGGCTAGCTACAGTGTGGGTTAGAAATGATTGACTGTGGTTTTAATAAATGAAGCCGCATTTTCTATCCCATTCAACGGTCGAACGATCAATTTTCAAGGTGAACACAATAGCCTTTATACATAATGTGTTATGTCTTACATTGAATTTACTTATGAAAAAGAAAGTAATTGGAGTGCAATAATTGTAGTTGTGTGGGTTTGTTCATTCAATGATGCATGATGCTTAATAGTTTAGAATTATATTTTATACTAGTTGTCCGGCCCCGCTTCGCACGGTTGGTGTACTAATAAATATACTATAAATATAAATAAAAAAAATAGACATTTATTGTTGCAGTCGTTCTGAGCTATGCGTGTATCTACAGTACATATTTTTGTGTTATTTTTTCGATTTTCGTACTTTATACAGCTTGTCTCATTTCAAACGCCCCCCCCTCTATATCTCAGCTATCAGTCGTGCGATCTTTACCAAATTAGTATCGTTATGAATAATCATTGATATGACCAGTTCTTCAGACACAAACATCATTTTAGACAGTGCCGTGCATTTTTATTAAAATGAATATGGGTCGTCAGTCTTTTAGTAAATCATATTAGACATTTTTTCACAGGAAAACTGACCTCATAATATTGTTCTTCATGGTTTCAAAGCCACATTTTATGTGGATTTTCATGAGATGCCTATGAAGTGTTTCAGAACAGAACAGGCACATCTAAGCAGCATTTTCGCGAACGTAATAATTATTTATTCGGAAACGGTGAGTTCAACATAAAAAAGTATAACTCGTTCTTCCTTTCAAATCATGATATTCCACCTACTGGAGAACGTTCCAAAAGTCGTAGTTGATTTGAAGTCACTATTTATTTGAGACTGAAAATTAGAAAAATGAGGCCAATCATGTTAATTTGGAACTAAGTGATTTTTCGCGTATGGAGATTCGAAAGCATGAGGGACAATAATATGAGGTTAGATTTCTTGTAAAAAAATGCCTAATATGATTTTATGAAAAATCGACCCCTTTTTAGTTCAATAAAAACGCACGGCACTGTCCAAAATAATGTGCATATCTGTAAAACTGATCATATCGATGGTTATTCATACCACACCAAATTTGGTTGGAATCGCATGACTAATAAGTGATATAGGGGGGTCGTTTAAAGTGAGACACGCTGTATACTTACTTACACCTATTTTCATTCTCCCAGCATCCTTTGTATATTTTTGTTGATGTTTTACGTATTAAGAATTTCAACCGAATCGGTCGAGCCAACAGGTCGAAACAAGTTCAATCTTCATGTCAAATGTCATGTTTTCGAAATAAATTGAATTATTCGAACTAGGTACAAGATGGAAATTCATGAACTAGTTGTCGATTTCTGGATGTATACAATTTGTTACTGCACCGAAGTACAAAAATTATATGTAATTTTTTTCCGTGATGTAATATGTTCCTGTATTGAATTATAGGTAGCCCATCATGGGTCCCTTTGCAAGAAATGATTTTGTTACCAAAAGATTGTGACTGAATTGATTCATTGATAAATTCCATAAAATCTATATTTTGAATATCCTTTGTTTGACAACATCTCATTTATCCATGAGGCAAAATAAAAAAAAAACAATTTTAATATCAATTTATTCGAAAAAATTAAATTTTGACATGAAGGTTGCACTTGTTGTGACCTCTTGAACTGGAATATGCAAGTGTTCCATTTGAAAAAAAAAGTTTCTGGCATTTCCAGAAAAATGTTCTTGTAATGTGATCAAATCCGACACGGTTGCTTATATGACTCTATATGACTGTACCACATTTCAGAAAAATCGGCTCACGAATGCAGAAGTTACAGGGGTGGCCCGATACCGTGTGTCAACCGGTATACAGGGTGTAATTCAATTTATGGCTCAATATATACGATATGGTTCCTTAGCTTATTTCAAGACAAAAAGCTCACATGAACAGATGCCCATAACTTTCGAACTATAAAGGGAGTTAAAATGAAATTTTCTCTTCACTGATCAAAGAAACTTTCACAATGTAAAAAACTGTGTTAGTTATACAACATAATTTAGTTTAAATACTATCTTTAGAGTGATTTGAAATAGCTGCAGGTTGATTTTATCTTGCTTTTCGTTTGATTACCAACTTTAACAGTGAGCAAGTTGTAATAATATTTTAGTTACAATATAATATAGTTGGAATACTATCTTTAGTTTGATTTGAAGTACTTATATATATGTTGATTATAACTTCCTATTCGTTTGTCTACCAAATATAACAGTGAGCGTTCTATTATACTATTTCAGTTACAGTAATGTTGTTGAAATACTATTCTTAGTTCGATTTGACTAATTTCTACAAATTATTGGTTTTACCACAAAAATAGTATCTAAACCAACAATTATTATTTGTTCATGTACACTTTTTCCTCAATTGTTTTGACGATCACCTAATCATTGAATGTACCATATTGTAGTTTTTTGCAATTTTGTGTTATAGCCGTAGAAAATATGACTTCCCCTTTGAAAGTGTTCAATTTGGCCCACCCTGTACGTTGTACAACGATATGGCGCCAAAGAGCATCCATCAACTTCTTCGACCGGAATCCGCAAGAAATCTCTTCCAACCAACAATCGAGTACTTACCAGCAAGCATATATTACGCAGTGCCGTATTCCCATTTAGGCAGCGATCTGCCCACGCATATCAGGGGGGTCAGGGGGGCCCCGGGTCACCTCCGAGCGGGCCCAGCACCTCCGTGGGCAGGCCTTTTGGTCGCTTTGAGGACGACGCCCACCATAGGCACCAACGCCGAACGCCACAGAAGTGGTGCTGCCTACGAGGATATCAGGACCGATGATTCTACAGGGTGATTTTTCATTACCGACACCGATTCACTTGTGTGAATGAACTAGTACTCATTTATATCAACTTTGTGAAATCTGCTGAGTTTAAATTTTTAAAATTTCAATTTAATAAAATATTGATCATCGTGGCAAGCTTCTATGATCATATTAATTGTGTATAATGAGGTTATAAGTTGATAGTTAAAACTATAAAAGAACATTTTATTTCATTCTTTTTAGAGCGTTCAAATAAAAGCTTTTAAATATTTTTTTTTTACTCTTATTTTTTTATTTCTAGTTCTCCTACACAGGTTGCAGACCAATGCTGATGACGCCCATCTCGCCAAATTACACTATTCAAAATTAATCAATAGATGTTACAGGCTTAAAAATCGAATTTTTTAAACCAGCATTCATATTCTCAGCGAATCCCTTCATTATAATATAGGATATATTGAAATCAGAGTGATGGTCCATTATTTCTAATCATTATCGGCAAGCCCTCTTTTCATTTGATACCCATATCACAGAAGTGCATGAATAACAACTATTCTGCCATCCTGGAAGTTTCGCCATATTGGATTTAGAATGACGTTACATTATTTTCAGAGTTACTCTCAACGAGCCGTTTCATTTGATACCCATATTGTGGAAGTGCATAAAAAATAACTATTACGCCGTCCTGGATGGTCCGCCATATTGGATTTAAAATGGCATCACATCATTCTTCGAGTTACTCCCAACAAGTCCTTTTATTTGATACCCATATTGTGGAAGTGCATTAAGAATAACTATTTGGCCATCTTGGATAGTCCGCCATATTGGATTCAGAATGGCGTCACATTATTTTCCGAGTTACTCTCAACGAGCCCTTTCATTTGATACCCATATTGTGAAAGTGCGGTAAAAATAACTATTCCGCCTTCTTGGATGGTCCGCCATATTGGATTTAGAATAACTTCATACATCTTATCGTGCATGGTCATCCAAACTAAACGTGTATACAAAATTTCAGCTCAATCGGTTGAAAATATCTACTTCAAAACATTGCATTACTTATCTTTGGACGTTTCAGGAACGAATCTGCTCCCGTCTTCAACATAAAAAATGGATTTTTTGTATTGCAAATTCGTATTTGTCCTGACACTTTTCAGTTCTCAGTGACAATTTTTGGTGACGTTGGCTATCAAATGAGTTACAGGATGTTTTCATTAATTATAAGTACAAATTTTATATTTTTTCTATACATATACCTTTATTTCTCTTCTCCAAACCTTTTTCAATACAAATTGTCACTGATAAGCTAGTGAATTTTTCTTTTAGGCTCCCTGATAGGAAAATTCTTTAAACGCAGTGACATATTTTGGGGAAAATCAACTGATTTGTCCTAACTACACGTATACCTATTGAAATAGTATTCATATTTTTATTTTTCATTTTATAGAGACGAGGAGAGAAAATCCCAAAAACTCTGGAATAATGAATGTTCCACCTCCTCGATTAACCTACAGACAGTATTGAACATATTTCATGGTTTTCATTTGCTATATCGTCTTCAAACCTCCTAAATCGTGTTCTGGTTACACCATGGTTACACTATTTCTGTCGCTGTCACTGTTTCCAGTTCTAATAGCATTCTGGTTTTATTATTATTCTTCGTCCTACGAACTTTTCTCTTGTCCTCCTACGTGGAAACATGTGGAAATATTAACTTGTAGGTACGTCGTACGTCGAACACACCATTTGTTTTACATGAATTTACCTTAGCCAATAATGTCTTTCCGCTCTACAGCCATGAAATATGCTCACGATATCGACACCTTACAAAATACTTACCATAAATAAGTACAGGTACACATAATGTTGCTATATGATTTGTTCAACTACAGAAATCCTTTATACTCATACCCATATACACAGTGTTATAATTCCTTCTAGTTCCTCTCTACCCCACACCTGTATTTTCGTACATTAATATTTATTATCTTCGTCGGAGGAAGAATCTTTTTTTTTTATAATAATCTGAGAGAGAATTAATATTTTCATCACATAGAGAATAATACGAATTCTCAATGTATTTCTTTATAAAGAGAAATGCACAAAAAATGGCGAAGATTGTAATAACTTGTGGATTATTCTAAATAGGATTTTGAAAATTGGTGGGTAGCAAGTATACCAAATTGCTCATTAATTGATGAAACAATGTTTCTTCTATCACTTCCAGTTTCACCGGAAACGACCCCAACTTTTTATTTTTGAATGGGATTGTATTCCATAATCAGTTAAGTATGGATTATCATGACGAATTCATCGATACCGGGTTTGATAGGGTTCTTTCAAACAATTGCATTCGAAGTTTCCATATGATAAATGGGTGTGACTTCGCAATATCAAAACTTCTTTCTCTGTCACACTCATTGAGCATATGGAAACTTAAAACGCGAATATCTGCGTAATCATTTGAAATAACCCTATCAAATCCGGTATCGATGAATTCGTTATGACAATCCCTAATCGATTATGGAATACAATACACGGTGTCCCATTTAAATATCAAAAGTTGGGGTCGTTTCCAGTGAAGCCGGAAGTGATAGGAAAAAAATTGTTTCGTCAATTAATTAGCAATTTAGTATTCTAGCTGCCGACCAATTTTCGAAAATCTTGAATAATTCAAAAGTTACAGTCCTGGCCGTTTTTTGTGTACTTCTCTGAATATACATGGTGGTCCAATTTTTAAATGTGCATTTCTTTCTCAATGTGTAGTTCGCAATTTGAAAAAACATAGGTTTTTGCGTGAAACAATTTTGAGTTTTTGATGCGTTTCGGTGTTTTCGAGTTGAATCGGTTCAGAAATATCGTAACATTTTCGGTTCAATAATATTTGATTGTAATTAAAACAAGAGTGATATATGCTCACTGTTTCATCTCATAGAACGTGAAAAGTTTAGTATCTGTGAGGAATTTTGTTGATTTATCTCAAACCGTTTCGAACTTTTCATCAAAAAACCATATTCAGACTCGTATTTTCAACACCCTATATATCGAAAACGATGTATATGTTTGAATGAGGTTTTTATTATTATTTCAACTAGTACAACACAGTTTGATTTTTTCTATTACAAACCAGACCACCCTGTATATATACATTTTTTCTGTGACGGGAAAAAAGTTTGGCATTTCATCTCTCTTGGCAGGTTATAAAATGTCACTTTTCATAAATTACTTTTTTCCCGTGGGAAAAAAGTGAGTACTTCTTTCCCGGATATATATCACATATATATACTCTGTTAATGGCTTTTGTTGTGCTATAGTTCCGAAAAATGAGTCAATAATACCGTCTCCGAGAAAGAACTGCAAGTCCTTTTATCTTCCATTCGACTTCGCGGTTTCGTATATTACTGAACAACTACTGAATACGCAATTTTTTGGAATCAAATCGCAGAATTGAACTGACAGAAGTGACATAAGATATTTGATTACTTCAAAAGAATGATGAAGATGTCTATAAAACGCAGGTGTCCCTACTGTTAAAAACTTGAAATTTCACGTCGATAATTTTCAGATTTCGAAATAATGTAATATCTTCCCAATATTGATTCGTCCTTCCTTCTGTCACAGAAAAAAATAGTGTATTATACACGGGAAAAATATTAGATTTTAGCTCACGGTTTTTTGTCTCCCTCCGCTACGCGTCGGGAGACAACACAACCTGGAGCTAAAATCTACTACTTTTTTCCCTTGTATAATAAATAACTATTTTTAATGTTCATAATTTCATCAGAGAATATTTCTTTTCAATACTTCCACCCAACTTGGTCATTTTTATAGACTTTTAATCGCAGATTCGTGATTAGGTTTTCTCAATTAAGAATTTATTTCCACGTCCTGTATAATACATATCAATTTGTCATACATCCAAAAACATTTTTCAAAGTTGAAAATGGGAGCCAAGTGAATTTTTTGATTTTTTTTCTCAACGTTTTTATAAGAGAAACAGAAGAACTGAAAATACTTTTCCATAAAAACTTGATGAATAAATACGAAAAAGCTCAAAGTAATGTCCACAAATGTTCATTAAATGAACAACAATGGTAGATAACGGGAGAAAAACAACTACTTTCCTGACTAATGCCACGCAGAACATTGAATTACATCCTCCCAAAATCTATCTAATACCTACTATAATGCAAGTGTTTCTCTTCCTAATGCCAATTGATTTCGATTTAGCCAAGTTAACGCTACGACACCTACAGACCGGTTTCAAGCTTTTTGGCTCTCATCAGTGCAGGGTAGTCTCCAGCTAGCAGTCCGAAGACCGCTGACTAAGCGTAACTTATCCAAACAATTTTGGAGAATACCCTGCAAGGATGAGAGCCAAAAAAGCTTGAGACCGGTCTGCCGGGCTAAATTGAAATCAATCGACATTAGTGAGAGGAACAATTGCATTTTTATTCTTTTCATAGATTTCAGGAGGATGTAATTCAATGTTCTGCGTGGCATTTGCCAGGAAAGTAGTTGTTTTTCTCCCTTCATCTACCATTGTCGTTCATACCCAGCGAGCACAAACATCCCTGGGATGTTTTGGGATGTTTTGAAAATGTTGGCATGAAGATGTTATTTTGAGACGTAGTATACACTGACCAAAGAGGTCTTTGAAGGATATTGAAGTATTGTTTTTGTTCTTCTGTGGCATTTCCTTGCTTGCCTACTGAGAGGGTATCCCTGGGATATTTTGGGATGTTTTAGAAATGTAGGCATGAGGATGTTTTTTTGAGGCGTAATATGCACTTCCCAAATAGGTCTTAGAAGAATATTGAAAGTATTGTTTTTGTTCTTTTGTGCCCTTTCTTTGTTTGCCCCATCACAACGTCACAATACGATGAATTCTGATTTTTTTTCGATTTTGTTCTTCTTGTTCGCAATTGGCATTCGCGTTTGCAGCGTGTCACGCTTACATCACGCTGCTAACGAACAGAAAGGAATTTGGTGA